TCACTTTTAAAAGGAATGGTAGAACACCTCTTATATGTGATCCAAAGTAAGACAGTATACTGCGACGTTTCAAGAGCCAATCAATTGCCAAACACTAGCTTTGGTAGTGTTCTTTATTTTGAGGATGGCAAACTCGGTGGCCTCATTTAAAAACACCCACCTCCTTATAAAGAGTCTTACATGCTCAATGGCCTCATTTACAGCCATGTTTCCTCCCAACTTGTGTATTTTTGGTCAGCGGTTCAACTGTAATTTAATTTGCTAACTCTTGAATTTTTATAAATTAATATTTTTATAATTTTAGATCATTTTAATACATTAAATATAAAAAATAACGTTAAAATAAAAAATTATTTTAAAAAATAATATCCACCACCACCGTTTTCAAACACCCATCCGTTAACACACAGGCTACTTTCCATTTTAAAAGAACGGTTCTCGCCCCCAATCCTTCTTGCAGCGGGATTATGAGTAGCGTATATTAAAAAATCTAAGGGCAGATGATCGTGGGCTGATGAATTTATGGGCTGGGCATATTTCTCGAGTAACTTGGTTGGGTTTAAGTCGGGCTTTGTTATGCCTGGCAGTGAAATCGTGGCCTTACAAATAGAGCAATACTCGAAGGCACAAGATCCTTTCCTTCTTTAAACGAATACTTGTGCTCCTCCGTGCCTTTTAGATTTAATGGATTTTTCTTCTTCTTTATATTCTCTTGGTAATGAAATACGAAATTGATGATCGTTTTATTCATGGAACATAAATTAAAAATTCAAAAACTTAAATAATTAAACCAATTATTTTAAAGATAAACACGAATTGTGTATTTATATTCAAAATTAAAGAATTATATTTACTCTAACCAAAATAACAATGAGTCATATTTTGCTATATAATCAAGCATCAAATTTTAAATAAATATATTTATAAATACCAATATATAACCCCCAAAGTGTACGGTTACTCTAATCATAATAACAATGAATTATATTTTGTTTTTTTGAATAAACATTGAATTTTAAATAAACATGTTTATAGATGCTAATATATAACCTTAAAAAAACTAAGTCTAGAGCATATAGTTTCTCTAACAACAATAACTATGGGTTATATTTTGTCCTATGACTAGATATTAATTCTAAACAAATATATTTATAGATGTTAATGTATAATCCTCAAAAGTAGTCGATCCACAAATAAGTTCACAAATACAAATCATATTTAAAATTATATTCAAAATACTTTTGCGATCATGTTTATAAACATGCTTTCACAAAAAATTTAATATTATTTATAAATTATTTACATGCTTCATCCATCTAATTTACAAAAGAATACATATTTTAGTAAGAAAAACTTATTTAGTATATAAATATATCTTTTATAACTGAAATAACTAACCAAAGATATGAAAAATTACACACCTGATATGCAAATTTAATATTAACCTTAGAAATAATCAAACATTCCTAATAATGTAACACTAACAAACCACCATAAATAATTTATACTTACTAATACCTAATACAATACATGAGCCTTATCAAAACTTAAATATACCACCCGCTTGAGTGACACTTAATTATGAGCCGAAACTATTTGTAAAAAATTATTTATTAAGTAAGTAAATTAATTCATATATAGAAATAAACTTCTTTACTATTACCTTCCCCATGTATTCAAATTCTACATAATAATAAATTAATTTTAGTATATTGAAATGTTTAAAATAGAATTATAAAAGGTTTTTACTCTCCAAAAATAATTTTCAGTTATTAACTACAAAATCTCAATAATTAATATATATTTTTTATAAATTTATAAAAATTCTTAAAAAGATATCAAAACATACTAAATCTCGTTGGTAATATATTAAATAGAAATAACAAACTCCAGGGTCATAAAATATATCAGGTGAATCGCAAGCTTAATTTATTTTGATATATATTTTTACTTGTTTATTTATAACATAGAGTTTTTTTTTTTTTTTAATACACTCGCCTTAACCAAGGGACCTGTGATTTATTATTCTATCCACTCGTGCCTTGCACGAGACAACAACAATGATAGCCTAAGTTTACTATTTCATGGTATCATTCGTTGACCCAACATCTTAAATCATAAATGTGATTTATTTATTTATTTCTTTATGTATGCCTAGCATGGTGATTGCTTTAGTTGAGGAGAGTTCAGGGGAGTAGGTGCAATCGAGGAGAGTTCAGGGGAGTAGGTGCAATCTTTATATATATATATATGATAAGAGATTTTTTTATTTAATTTATATGCTAATCAAATTTAAATTAAGTCTTTATATAATTTTAAGCACACATCTTTTAAGCTAGTTTGGAATATTTTAAATAATAGATCTTTTCAAAAAATCTGAAAATCGAAATTCAAAATGAAAATAAAAAATGAACTGCTTTGAGTTGATATATGTGTTTTCAAATTATTAATATCTTCAGGATGAGTATATTATAAATATTCCAACGATAAAAAAATGGTAATGCATCCTTTTGTTTTTTTATGTTTTATCCTTGAAATTTCAAATTGAACAGGTTTAAAAAGTATGCGGCACAGATACAGGCGAGAGAATTAAGTAAAGGTCACGTGAATGAAATGAAGTTCAAACGGTGACGGGAACAAGGAAGAAGATGCTTCCTTATCGACCTAACTATTTCAACGAATGCCTTGATGTTTCGTGATCCCCAAGCCATAAACTGCAATCAATTTGTTTATTTTAAATTTTTTAATTTTAATTAACCTCCTTCTTTATGTCGCTACCCCGATTAACTCTTTCACGTATAAATATTTGTTTATTTTAAATTTATTAATAATATCTGTAATTAATTTCGAAGCTTGGTAATTAAAAAATATATAATCTATTCTTAATTTAACTTTAGCTAGTCTCTGTGTTATCAAACTATTAATAAATAAATCAATAACACCAATCAATTCGGACTTAATTTAACTTTAGCTAGTCTCTGTGTTATCAAACTACAAAAAAATAAATCAATAACACCAATCAATTCGGACCAAAATTAATACTATGATGCACGCCCTCAACAAAAGATCCAAATGCATATTTTTATCCGAACGTAAATTACCTGCTCCCTTCCCTCTCATGACACAATTTCTTCGACTGACTATACATTGGACAATCAAATATTATATCATGTGTACATGTCATTGATTATTTTTTAAAAATTCAATTTTTTTTGTGCGTGTAGAAGATAGATTGAATTTCATTGTTTAAACAATGGAGAAAAAGAAAGGCTTCTTGCCTGATAAATTGAAACAAATATAAGACAATACACACACACACACACCTATTTGTTTTTATATTTTAAAAATAATTTTAAAAATATTAAAAAATTTATTTTTATTTTTTTAATTAATATATTTTTAGTGTTTTTAAATAATTTTGATGTAATGATGTTACAAATATTTTTTTAAAATTAAAAATTATTATCATATATTTTAACATAAAAAAATATTTAAAAAATAATCATAACTATATTATCAAACAAACCTAAATGAAAAAATTACTCTGGAATTATAAAATAATATCAATTGTAAAATGAAAAAAAGGTGGATGCGTATTGACTTTTTATCTATCCCCAAACTGCAGTCAATGCAAGTGGAACTTGGCATAATATTCAATGGACAGACATCCACTGAAGATCCTCCCAGAAATAAATAAAATATAATAAATTGATACCACAGCCATAATAGCGGGTGAATGAATTCAATAATCAATTCCGAAAATTGCTACAATTAAATATTTGATGCTTCATTGACAAGTAAAATTGTCTTGGAGAATTAAAACTGCTTGACCTTGGTTCACTCGACAGTCATAAAGATCCCATCTGACATGTCTGTGACCCAGCACTTGATCTCACCAACGTTTGCAACAGATCTTGGCTCTCTCAACTCTCAACCCACTCGACTTAAATTCAAAGCTAGAATTCTAACGGTTTTTTTTTTATTAAAAAAATTACCTTACTAACTAAAAAGTTGAGTAAAATAACATCATTTTCACCTTGTTAGGTTGAGAAACATGATATTTAATAAATATTATTTTTTAAAATATAATAAAATAATTATTACACTTTAAAAAATAATATTTAATAGCTATTGCGCTTGACTACACAAATTCCATCGTGGCACCCATCATAGAGCTGCCGATCTGATGGGCAAAAAATAATGTGGTCAAATTATCTTCCCTTGATCTCAGCCCTCCAGGTATTGTGAATGTGTCCAAGAACTCTTCCAAATCCTTCTCGCTAGTACCTTCACAGACTGTTCTCTGGCCATCACTACGGTAAGTGCCCACTCCCATGGCTCCAGCTGCTATGAAAATTGGCAAAGCCTTCCTCAAGCCCATTGCAAAGATGTGAGCAATTAATTATTATATTTAATAAATAGCATGGTTTTTAATTATGACAAGTAAAAAAATGCTATTTTATAATTTTTTTATAATTATTGTGTCAATTATTTTTTAAATTTAAGTGATAATTTAGCAATTTGCCCAATTCTAGCTTTACACTACAGTTACATGTCAGTCTCCCCCGCTCCTATGAAAATTCAAAAACGCTGAGAATTGAACAACTGTCATTCTCTCAGGTATCAAACTTTGCTCGCCACGAAATGCGTTGGCGCGTGACACTTGGAGAACAAGTTCAATCGGTGACTCCGTTTCTCAACTATCTCATTTACCAGGCCAACCAGATTTGCCACGTGTAAGCAACCCGACATCTAATTTTCTAAATGCGGCGAGTCGTTAGGGATTCCCCTCATTTTAATCTCCTCCTTTGTAAATATCTGCAGCATTTTTAATCCAAAAAATCAGCCAATTATATCATAAATCTAATTGAGATTTCATTTATATATATAAAACTGAGAAATTAAAGAAAAAGGAAAAAAATGCTGGGCTTTCTTCGGTTTATCGTCCTATAAAACTGGGATTCACAAGCCTAATGACATTTTGACTCTTCCTTGGAACTGAAACTCCCTCTAACATCTCCTCAGTCCTCTTCTCTCTCTCTCTGTTGGTACTTCATTTGCCTTCTCTCTCTCCACCCCCTCTGCTTTTTGCTTATACTCTTTAATTCTCAGATCAGTTATATCTTCAAGTGTTTATAAATCCCCCTTGATATTTCCTATTTCTAACGTTTCCTATAATAAATTTCTCCTAAAAACCTATGATGTTTTCACCCAAAAACCAAACCCACAAGAGACTTGATTGCATTAAAAAAATGGATCGCTTTTCTACCAAATACACAGAGCATAAAACCGTGACCAACAAGCTAGTGAGATGGGAGGACCCAAAAGCCACAAGAATTGTAAGGATTTCAGTGACTGACGGGAATGCAACGGACTCGTCTGGAGATGAAAACGAGGAACCCAAGATCCAACATCCAAGAATTAAAAAGCATATCAACGAGATAAGAATGACAGATTGCAGCGCCAGGGAAGCAGAGGCTGCGAAAAAATCACCAGGACAACAAGTTGTGAAAAAAAACTCAAGGGATCAGTATTATTATCCAGAAGGGAAAAAGTATCGTGGTGTGAGACAAAGGCCATGGGGGAGATGGGCAGCAGAGATCAGAGACCCTCATAGGAGAACCCGGGTATGGTTAGGGACTTATGACACGGCAGAGGAGGCAGCCATGGTTTATGATCAGGCTGCTATTCGTATTAAAGGACCTGATGCACAAACCAATTTCACAAAACCTCCGGTGAGCAAACAACATGCCCCAGATGTTGATATTAACGTTAACATTTCTGGGTATGATTCTGGTAAAGAGTCTCATAATAGTCTATGCTCTCCAACTTCTGTACTTAGATTTCATTCCACTGGGGAACCGGGTCCAGAGTCACAGGCTGCTGTACAGAGTGACTGTTGCTGGAGACAAAATCAAGAGGTGGTTCAAGAAGAAATATTGAAGGGTGGTGATGATGAGTGTTTGGTGATGGATCCTCTGTGTTTGAAGGAGTTTTGGGACTTTGAAAGTCCTGCACCGATTTTTTTTGAGGAGTGTAGTGTACCGGGTACTGTTTTGAGAGAAGATTATGCTGATATGCCGGTACATTTAGATTGTGATTTTGGTTCCTGTTTATGGGATGTTGACAAGTATTTTGAGGCATGATTCCAGGATCATAAAAACCTTAATTACTCTCTATTTGGGGTTTAAGGTCAAGCTATCTACATAATGATACGATGATTTGGTAAATTCCGAGGGGAGTTTTGGATTGGTACTGTTTTCAATTTTAGTTATAGTGGTTGTGTATAAAGATTGTAAGGTTTAGCTTACAATTTGGAAATATATGTAAATCCTTTCCTCTTTCTTTATGTTTTCAAGATTTTGAATCTCTTAAGTGTTTCTTTATGGTAAGTGTTCGTTTGCGAAGATTGCAGGCAAGATTTCAGGGTTTGGGAGTTTAAATCTTGACTGTTTTATGTTACTTTTTGTATGTTTTTGTGCATGTTTTAATATTATGGGTTCGGAGAGTGAGATATTTTTACTTGTTGGACTGAAAAAAGCCTACCAATTGTCTAAAGCGGTTTCCATGTTCGACGGTTGGCCACCTTGAACTCTCGAGAGCCACCCGCTCCTTCTGCGTTTTGTTAGCCATTCTTTGGTAGTGATAACAAGTCCAAAGTCCTGCCTATAATCGTGCTTCGCCTTTTCCTGGTGTCTAGTGGATAGTGTTACAAAAATATCAGGCATCAATTTGATCTAGTTGGGGTCTAAATCAGTATGTTGTTGGTAACGTCTCCAATAATATAATTTATTGACTGATTGTTGACAAGGCATTTATTTATTAACAATCCTTCTGGGAAAAATGTGATTGTCCAGCTGAGGATGCCAGCTATAGTTTCGTACTAGCAGATTATGCCATGTTTTTTAATTTTTTTAGTTTTAAATTACCTTTTAGGTATTTTAGTATTATTTTATAAGTTGATATTAAAAATAAAAAATATTATTTTAATATATATTTTTAAAAAAAACATAAAACATGTCAGTGTACTTAAACCAAGCTTTGGACTTTGAATTCAAAATACAGAATCCTGGCTTTTACTTCTATGACTTGAGCCCACTGAAATTACCCACTGGTCAAGTGTGATCCTTGGACGAGAACCATCAAGGCATCAACAAACTGTCTTCTCTCCTGACGGGAGGGAGCTTTGCTCTGTCCGAGGCACTAATGGAACCATAAATTCTTTCCCCACAAAACACGTCGGAAAGGGAGGTGTAGGTGCCTAGGGTAGCATTGGCCTTTTTAGAAATTCCAAGACATGCCAATTCTAACCTGCTTTAATTTTATGTTGATCACGACCCGGCGTGCCTCGACTCCGTGCTGTAAATTGTTTTTTTTTTTTTGAAGTGTTTTTTATTTTTTTTAAAATAAAAAATCTAAAAATTGCGCTGAAACCGCTCTCCCAAAATAGGGATCTCCTTACTGTACAAGAGGGATCTTCTGACAGTACCACTGGTCAAAGATTGCAAAACGTTTCGGGAGGTAATTTGGCATTGCAGGCTTGCTTTTATTACTCTTGTGTACAAAAGAGACCCACTTGCAAGCCTGTAACGAGAGATCTAAAAGAAAGATGTGAAAAATCAGACTCAGACCCACTAGCAATTTGCAAGTCTGTATTTGGTCACCTCTGGAAATAATTTTACCCAAGTGTTATTTAACGCTACAGTCCTCGCTCCCCAAACTTTTACCAGCAGTTACGGTTCTTGCGGTTGACACATTGTCTAGTTGTCGAAAGCGGGAAACTCTCTCTCCTCGCTCGTCTAGCTTCTTGAGATTTTGGCGTCCCATGTGAAATGGTTGGGGCGGTGAGATATTTGTGAAGGACCTAACCATGCAAGGCAAAACTATATACTGGTTATCATGACATCTGGACTGTAGGCTACAGTAGCCAAGTGTAGAACACATGGTATCTTGACGATTTCAGTTACTGCTTTTCATTTCTCGTTGGGATTTTCTTAATGTCTACAACAAATCCATTACTTAGATTATCTGAATTCCTTTTTTTTTTGTTGAGAAAAAATCACTGCGCAAGGAGAAGAACTTAATTATTGGTCTGGAAATCAATCCTTAAGTGCAGCTGCAAAATTGGTCCAAATGTTTCTGTGCAAAAGGCACAGTCACGGGTGAAGCCGTGTTGCTAGAACCCATGGATTCTTTGCGTTTCTTATCATTAATCAACCCATAATTATCTTTCAAATTCTGCCCTAGACTCGGAAGTCCGTACAGATTAAAAAAACCCTTCCCCGCATATGGTAACGATCAAACATCGCCGGACGATGAGCTTGTTCTGGGTTTATTTATTGTGCCTAAAGGAGGCATTATACACGTGTTAAATGTTCTTCTATAAGCCAAAAACAAAAAAGAAAAAAAAAGAAAGAAAACAGAATCGTCCTGCGAGTGTGATTTTTAATTTGAAAGTTAGATATGAAACTCGATAGCAAGAGCAATTGATGGACTATGGAGCAAAATAATCAGATGGCAGGGAGGGAAGTTGGAGCTAACTTCAAGGGAATCTTGAATACTCCATCAGTCGAAAAGGATGTGGGCACGCATAGCAATCAAGAAGCTCCCAAAGAAGAAAGAAACGGTCCCACTAACAGAGTTAGCAGTTTACACGTGATTTGTAGATAGCTGGCAATCAGAGGTGGTCGGAACGAAAAGTCAGTTAATATAGTTAATTAGAATGTATAGCATGGATACTGTAATGTGTAATTCCGGGAGTGGCAGGTAGTATGAATTGACATTTCTACGAAGTTTTACATAACTTCTTCTCTTTATTATCTTCTGATTCTCTCTCTCTCTTTTTTTTCTAAACTTTCTTTTCTTCTCAAACTAATCCCTGGTGTTAAGGAAGGTTGATGACAGACAGGCACAGCCATGTACAGTATTCCTGTTTCAAGAATTCAAATGGCTAGACAGAAAGGATCCACTACGAGAAACAAAAGAATGGGCAAGGAAAATAAAGAAGAGAAAACTTAAAAGTGGGAGAAACATAATATCGACAACCATCGCAAAGAAGCTCGATATCCTTTTGACCCTGCAGGGAAGGCCGCATGTATTAGCATGAGGATTTTCTAACAGTGAAACTAACTTGGATCCATTATAAAAGAAAGTTTTAAATAAGCACTCGGATTAATCCTCTGGACATTCTCGCGTGGGTGTGGGGACAGGAGAATTTCTTGCTGTGAATAATCATCATTTGCATGGAAATCATGGTTAAAAAAGAAGGTACCGAAGGAAAAGTTATATTAACAAAAAAAAAAAAACCACCCTAAAAAACGTGGGATTTTTACTGTATTCGTCACCCCTATTCAAGAGTAGTGCTCCTTTTTTTTCTTATCTTTGATTTTCTTTTCTATCAACGTTGTTTTTCCAAAAAAAAAAAAACTATTATTTAATATTAAATTTATTTTGTTATTAAATTATTTTATTTTCATGACACATGAATATCGTGTTTATCCGATTAACCCGGTTAATTTACATATTTCATCATTCAACATTATATATAACATAATCGATTTATTTTGATTTGCTCTCTATAGTGTTATTTGAGTTCATGATAAAAAAAAACATATTTAATAGGTTAACCCGGGTTAAATTAAATTGTTTTTTTACGAGATTATCATGCTTTCATTACTCGGGTTATGAGTTTGATAGATTAACTTAAGTTATTTTTAATATTTATTTAATCTCATTGTTCAATATTGAGCTAATTAAGAATTGAATTTTGTTATTTATTTCAATTTGTTTTCTATAGGGTTATCTTGATCCTTGTGACCCGGGTTGCGGGTTTAACATGTTAACTTGGCTCTCTTTTCAAAGTCCTTTCTTTATTTGAGTTTTGTTTTTCAATTTCTTGATTCAACATTAGATTGATAGAAAATGAAGCTTTATAATTTGATTTGATTTGTTTTCTATAAAGTTATCATATTCTGTTAATATGAGTTATAGATTTGACATGTTAACCAAATTGATCCAAGTCAATTCAATATATTATTATTTTAATGTTAAAAAATAATATCATTTTGAATTTATTTTAGTTAAACTATTTTTTATAGGTTGTTTGTGTTGTTTTTATGTCCACAAATTCAACCGAGTCATGACAACTATCACACGATTTAATTTTTTTAACTAGAAAAAAAGTTGTTTGTGTTGTTTTTGTGTCCACAAATTCAACTGAGTCATATCAAGATAACTATTACACGATTTAATTTTTTTAACTAGAAAAAAATATCAATAATATCTAAATATTTATTTTTATATTTTAAAAAAAACTTTATCCGACATGCCACCCATTGCTTAGCAAAAATACTCAAACTATCACACTGATTGTAACGAATGGATGAGGGGTAAGAAAGTTAATACACTCTCTTGTTTTGAGAATTCTATTTGTTTTGAGAATTCTATTAGATTTTTTTTCATGTATTAATTAAGAAAGATATGTTAAAATTGTGTGAACTTATACATTTTTTTTATTATATTTATTAAAAATTAAATTAATGTTGTTGAACATAGAAAGTTATGAGAGTTCAATTTTGAGAGTGAGTTAAAATAGCAAAATCTGGTATTCAGTTTTTTAACTTTCAGACAAAAGATATATATTTTAAGATATCAAAAGAATAACACTCAGCAAACATGAGTTGTCGTGTATGTTAAAATCCAAGTGACCCTAAAATATTCCTTTCGTTTATTTAATTTTTTATTGTTTGTTTTGGTTTTGATGATAAAGGTATTTTTAGCCAATTACAGTGTACCAAGACTCTTTTTTTTTTTTCAAATTAGATTTCAAGAGGCGACCATCTACTCTTTAATTTAATGGTAGTATTAATAAACCTATCGTAAGATTTCAATATTAGGGGTGACTTGAGGATAAAACTCATTTAACAATCAAATTAAGGCTATAAAAGTTCCGTACGTTGAATTCTAAGCAACTCAAAGCATGCATGCATGTAAATAGTATAGTTGCTAAATTCAATTCTACATGAACAATCGATCCAATTTAAATTAATCTTTCAAACTAGTTTGGAAGTTCATCCTATCAAATTCAATCAATTCTCGGTGAGACTTTACCACATCATTTTTTTGCGTCCAAAACAAAGCATTTTCATTTAAAAAAGCTAAAATGATATAGTTTTGAGATCAATTTCACAAATCTACGACTTGAGCCTTATGCCGGATACGTAGCAGACATCATAAGGGCATTTCACTAAGTGATGCGTAAAGAAGTGGATAGCTGCCCTAATTAATGAACTCTTTAATTTCACGTGATCACAAGTCGAAAAAGTTTATGCATAATAATCAAATCTTACCTAGGTATATACTCATATGTAAAATTGGCTTGATGATCATGCAAATTTGTTTTTATTTATTTCAAGTCAAG